TAATTAAGAGCAGGGCTCATCTGCTCTTCTGCAGCGGAAGATGGAATGAAACGGCTCCATAATTATGCCAAAACAATGTGCTCCCTCTCAGCCTCTGCCACAGAGCATTTGGAAGGGAGTGGAGATAAAGCACGCAACACACAGGACATTCTGTCTGCAAGGGATTACAGCTTTTCAGCTACTGAATTAAGACAAGCCACTTCTCACATGTTCTTTTCTGTTATTACAGATACGTTGTGATTCAAAGGTATTAGGGCCGTTGTATGTATAAAACAAAAATGTGCCCAGGTCAGGGGGGGGGGGGGGGGGGGGGTATTCCGAGGAAAAACCCAGCATTAACAATTTAAAGTTATACATTTATGAGGAAACAAAACGTACATTTCCTCAGAGCTTGACATTGTACATTTGCTAGAAAAACAACAAAGATATTCTTCTGAGAATTAAAAAGAAAAAACTCTTCTGTTCTGATTAAATAACATTTCTGAAAAATGCTCGGACAAATGTTGTTTTGTTATTGAGCAATATGCTTCTTTTTGCAAAGTTAGACAACTTGCGGTAAGCGGTTCGAGCTTGGGGAGAGCGAGAGATGGATTAATACACGTATGACTGCATCAGGGTTTCAACACAAGGTGTTCACTAAGACCACATCAAATGAGTGCCACAGCGTGAAAATGTGCACGTTATGTACAAAATACAAATTGATAATGGGATTATATTCACGAGAAGTATATACCATGTTACCTATGTCTCTTATTCCAATGCTTTTATTGTAGCTGGAAAACAAATCAATAATCAGATACATCTTAACATTGACTGATAGCTCGTACAATTTACTACTTTCATCTAAGAGATGTTTTCCCCCCCATCTCCTGGCTCTGTGCGACATTTTAGGTTTGTGCTCAAATCAAAGAAAGAGCTATTTAGCTTTCAGGGTTCAGGGAGTGAATAATGTCCGTCCTGACTGGGTCCTGGCTCGTTGTGTGTGAACGCTAACACCAAGCTCTATGATATGAATCAACATATTTTGTGCGCCCAAACAGACAGCCAAACATGTGTGTGTCCCTGTGTTTGAGGTCTCTTCAGTTTATCTCTCCGCTATTTCCAACCCTTCTGTGAATTGTTGGATAATGTGCTGGGCTTTGTCCTAAGTCGTTAAAGAGCAGATGGCCAGCGCTTGCACACGTGTAACTCTGATATTATTGTACATATGTAAATCTGTGAACATATGCTCAACCTTCAGCCCCCACAGAATATATAGTAATCCTTTTGTATTCCTACAAAGAACTATTCTCCTGGGTTGTCTCTGTTCTTCATTGTTCTGTCAGGCATTAGGCATATACTTGAAGTGTTTACAAATGTGTCCCTTACTTGAAAAACAAAGTTTAATATTAGTCCTAGTGTCACAGCTGGATCCGTCTCCACCCCTTATATCTCCCCCTTAACAATACTCCGGATCCCGATAACCAATTATACCTCTTATGGCCTCTCAAATAACTTTAATCACTGATTAGGATTCCTTGTTCAAAAAGCAGCTACTTCAAAGTAATTGCTCAATAAAGACAGGGGAAGTTGTCGTATTAAGTAGGTCTTCCTGCTGCTTCTCTCATTAGCGCTCACTTGGAGCTATCAACTCCCCATTGTCACAAATGGAGCCGGCTTCATTCACAGCACAGAGGCTCTCCCTCTCCTCCCTCTCCTCCCTCTCCTCCCTCTCCTCCCGCTCACGGCTCTGACATGACGAGAGGCTGTCAGCTCGGTCAGACCTGCACAGCAGAAATCGAACAGCTCCCACCCTGTTTAGATTCATTAGAACAATGGAACAGGTTGGCTGACGCAGAGGGGATAACGTTCCCTGGACTGCGGCACGGACCTGTGGGTTTGACGTCTTTTTCAATCAACTCGTTTGGCTGTTTACTGTCGGGAAGCCAGTGAGGGATCTAGCGCTTAGTTTGGGGGGAAATGACAGAAATAACAAAACCTGTGAATGAAAGTAATCATTTCCAGTTCAGATATTTACAGTTAAAAGATGTGACTTCCTTTTTTGGAAGTGTGTCCTCCAGTTATTATAGTGCTCTTTTGTGGTTGAAAGGGAAGTCACATTTGATTTGTACAGAATGTATGCCGGTAAAAGAAAGAGAAGTGGGGAGAAAGAAGCAGACATTTCATGCAAATTGTATATTTATTTGTATATTTTTTAAATATAACTTTTGGTCAGATTTTCACCCATTTCATCACGCAACCACCAAGGTTTGGAAAGTTCAGGCTATTTGTAATACTTTTCCTTCCTATTGGCTTATTTCTCTTCATCTCATTCTTCTCCTTTCAGACCAGTCTGTACTATGAATAACATTAACCACATTTGCATCCCCACTACTAATATTGTTTTTGATTGGGCTTTCCATAAAATGCCTGAAATAAGGCCTTTGTTTAGCACAAGCCTCAACCGAGGTGATGGGGCACATTGAAGGATTCTGCTCAGAAGGTGCCTTTGTTTATCGCCTAACTCTTTACTCCTGCCTCTCAAAGCCGGATCATTCCTGATATAGAAGAATTCTAAATGCTCGCTTCTGTTTCTTTTCTGACCCTGATTCAGCCAAAACATCTTCAAGGTTGAGTGCAGGCGTTTATCAAGAAAATGGTTTTGCTTGGAAGGATTACAGGAAGTACACACAGTTCTAGTCGCTTTACATGAACACATTCCCCTCCTAAATGACTGGCATGATCAGATACTATAAGAATAAGGTTGCTGCGAGAAAGAAGCAGAAGGATTCTTTCAGCTTCCCCCCCTGATCCAGCGGCAAGTCTCACTTTGCACTCTTCCCCCAGCAGAACCCTTCTCAATAAAACATGCATCTCTGTAGCATGTACAACTCTTGTGTTTCCTGAAATGAGAAACATGTTTGATGTTCGAGAGAAGCGTACATGAACGAAATGTTTTAATTCTCTTTAAGCCAGTAGTGACTTATATTCTGGCAAAAAGAATGTGTGCCGGAGTGGAGGGAGGGAGAGCTTTGTTGTAGAGCAGCATATTTCTGTTTCCTCTCCCAGAGGTTTAGAGGAGCTGTTACACTCTGGAGTTTTAGCGGAGGTCACAAGGTGATTATATAAACAATTCACACAGAGGCCCTCAAGCACCCAGAGGGAATATTTAATGCAGTGCTCACACTTTCTCAAATGTTGTAATGCTCAAGACGCAGACATGTGTCCAATTTGACCCACGCTGCATTATCTTTCTGTCTCCTTTTCTATTTTTCTTGCTGTTTTGTTGAGGCAAGTGAAACCGCGCTTCATTAATTTGGTCAGCTGCCTTGGATAAACTACATTGATGACATCAATTAGATTCTAATGAAAACAGATAAAAGCCATGGAAAGCAAATGGAATTTCTGAACAGGACTCATCAAAGTCTTAGCATTGGAACAAATTCCCATTACATCTCATAAAAAGCCTTCCATTTGCAGAGCTCATGTCTGGGTTGGTACTTAGATGTACATGGTCAAATGATGCAGTCTTAAGTCGAGTGCCAAGAGAAGCCAAATCTGAATTTAATTTGGCACGTAGCTCCTTATCCTGTCTGAAACATGTGGTTGGATCAAATCCTTGGATTAGTGGACTTTAACTACACATTTGGCTCGTTTCTCCTTTGGCAGAACAAACACCTTGTCTAACCCATTTGTAACAACATTTACATTTCCAATCTCCGCCAAAAGAGACACATGCTTACTTCAGATGAGTTCTTCTTAGTTAACCAAAGTGCTACGATTAGGTGAGTCGTGGGATGAGGCTCCATTTCATTGTCTTTAATGTTCCTTCTGTCTTTTGTAATAACCCCTTTACACTGTTTGATTGAACAGGTCAAAGAAATGATGATGAACAATCCTGTGTTGTCAGCATTTGGTAAAGACACCGGTTTAAATATATCAGTATATCTTTCGCACAACTTAATGAGAAAAATGTATATGTTAATTCATTGTTTACATTTTGAACTCGGAGTAACTTCAAACTTTCTTAAAAATGGGCTCACATCAGGCTTTATTAAAGAGAACTTCAAACTAGTGTTTGAATACATTTATTTGGAAAATGTTTACTGAGCAAATAAAAAGTGAAACTGACTTCTATACAATCAGACTTCTTGGAAACCAGTGCAGCCGCCCACTGCTGGCGGCTAGAAAGAATGCAGGTTCACTTCACTCCGGTCCTACATCCGCTTCACTTTATTGCCCTGAACAAGATAATACATCACAGCCATAACATGCATTCAACTCCGTTTGAAACATCCGTACAACTCACGCAAATGTTACTATTATTGGTAAATGATACAGTATGAAATGTGTTCACATACACTATTAAACATAATCAAACGTATTCTTAAACCTGCAACAAAACATTTGTTCTTCACCATGAGTGAACCCTTTTATATTTGAGGTCCTTTTAACCCATTGCTAATACAAACATATTGATTGAATGAATGAATGTAACATAACAGCATTTGTAGCTATTCTATCTTACTTCATACCGACAGATCTAATAGAAACTTGTTCTGAATTTGTTGAAACTTACACAAATAACAAAGGGCCGGGTTAATAACTTCACAGCATCTTGCGCAGTTCTCCACACATCAGCATCTGTTCATACACAGTATTTAGACAGTGACCTCAGTTAACTGTGTGATCTACAGCTTGTCAACTGTTGGCTGTCCAGTCACGTCTCCTTGGTGTTACTCAAAGAGTTTATATTATTCCCATTTCTCATTTTGTTCCCTTCATCTATACCATGTCGTTTTGTTTTTTCTAATGAAAAGATAGCATTTTTATTTTTTATTTCTTGTCCAGTTCATGAGATTGTAAATCAAATTATAACATTAAGTTATATTGCATAATATGTCTGTGTTTTATTATTATTTATTATATATTTGACAGTTTGAATGTAGTGTAAAAGAGGAAGTATTTAATAAGCCCTTTTTTTTCTGCATGTGTCTTTTGTTTGTGTGTGTCCATCCCAGCGGACTACCCCCCCCCTCCACCACCTGCAGAAGAGTCGACCGGTTTCTCTCCCCCCTCCAGTTCCTTCCCTCCTCCACCAGTGATGAACTCGTGCGACTATCAGGTGAGAGAACGTGTTGTTGCATTTCATTCTCTTGGTTGTGAGAAACTTTGGAAGAGTCGACGCAGAAAGCAAAGAGCCCCGAGCTCTGCACTGAGTTCATACACGAGTCCAGACAAACTGTCCGTCCATTTGAGTTCCAGCCAAGCAGCAGAGGCCGGCTCCAGATGCTGCCGGGGGCCACAGGAACCCAGAGACCCTCAAACATCCTCAGCTGTGAGAGTTCTATGCAGGGAGGATGGAAGGCTGACACCTATTGGTGGAGCTCATAATGCCCTCAGGCATTTGTCCTCTGCCGGATCACTGACACCCTCAGCACTTCACCTCTGCTGTGAAATCCTCCAAGTGCTTAACATTCCTTTGTCCAATGTCCCCTCTTCAAGCCCATCGTCTGATCTGACCGTTTTCTCATCCTAAATGAATGCTTCCTTTGTTAGTTTGGAGACGAAATGTTACGTAATATAAATTAGTTACGCAGCGCATGTAAATTCACCGCTCTTCCCAAACATCTGTATACATAGACAGTATAAGCCTGCATCCTGGCAATGAACAGTATGCACCTCTTGTGGTGTTATGACTTAGTTATAAAAGTTACACAATTATTTCTCAAAAGTACAAAGCAACGACAGTTAAGCTCCGACAATTCAAGGTTATTTGTGAACCAATGGAATCTTATGATAAAAGCTGCTATCCCTAAACACATGAGTGGTCTGAGCAGGGAAAGAGACACACGAGCAGTTGGGATTGTGATAAGGCGTCAACAAAACGTACTTCATATATGAAATCTGTGCAAATGTTCAGCAAACCACTTATCCTTCCTATCTGTAAACAGAGACACTCATGCAACAATATTACGTTCTGGCTTTTGCACCGTTTAAATAGAATGTTCTAAAAGTTGACTGTTACTGTGAGTTTGTGCAGATTTATCATTTTCTGTAAATTCAACATGGATCGGTCACATCTGGCCCAGGATCAATTAAAGAGGTCCATCTGGTATTTGTATTTAATATTTACAGGGCTACTGGCTACTGAACACAACCAAATATTATGCTATGCCTGACAACTGTCCAGGGCTAACTGTAGACTCATCTTAGTATTAGTCTGAGGTATAGTTAGCTATACATTATGATTGAGCAATTACACACACACACACACACACACACACACACACACACACACACACACACACACACACACACACACACACACACACACACACACACACACACACACACACACACACACACACACACACACACACACACACACACACACACACACACACACACACACACACACACACACACACACACACACACACACACACACACACACACACACACACACACACCACACACACACACACACACACACACACTGCAGTATTGACAGAAGAAGTAAAAGATATCTGAGGCCTGAAAATACGTTAGAAGTAAAGTGTTAAATTAGTCTGAAAGGTTCTTTATGCTTTTTATCTGTACGTATTTGTCTCCTGTCACATTGGCTGTAGAATCAAACTGACCATGCAGCTTAATTCCTTAAGACACTGCTGGTATCTTAATGATGTGTGTTTAAGCCAGAGCAGAACCCTTCCACTGCAGGCGTTGTTCAGAAAAAAAAGGGATGGATATCATTCAAAATGTCTTTGTATCTTTTTCTCTGTGCCTCAGCAATGATATACACTGAGTGAATACATCAGTGATTTCAATGTTATTTCCTCAGAAGGAGGCAGCAGTAGTCTGTTGTGTTTATCACCCTGACTGAGAGATGTCTGGATATGACATGTTAACTCTGAACCCTTTATCAGGAGAGAGGAAACAAAAGCAGCTCCTTCTCATCGTGGCTGTTGTCCATATGGAGCCATACACGGCACATTCTAACACATCATAAAGACTGCAATGTTTCCTTTCATCCTCCTCTTATCCCTGTTAGATAAGTTTGCCTATTTTTTTTCTTTTGTTGATTTGAGACAAGCCATTAGTGTTTTGCTTTGTTTACCCCCGCTCATGATTGCCTTAGATGTTTTCCAGCAGCAGCTCTGCTCCAATTGGAGGCAAGCCCTGTAATGCCTGTAATAGATTGTGACAGGTAATCCAAACACATAACATTAGAATAAGAAGCAGTCACTGATCCAGCCAACTCAAAAAGACCCCGCAGGCAATTGCAAGAAGTCTTCTTACAGTTGCAGCATAGTTCAGAAGACTAGAAATATTTCTGTCATTCCATAGAGAAATTCCCGAGAATTTAGTAGAAACTCCAGTGTCACTAACGGTCAAATCATTTTGAGCTACTTTCCAGATTATTCTACAACAGTTTTGTTATATTTTGTGTATTTTATTCCATGTTGAAGTTGTGTTTTGGTTGAGGTGAAACTGAAAGGATGTAGATAAGTAAATGAATGAGGTCTGAGACCCCGTTTACGCGAGAACAAAACGGGTTGGATCCGCATAGTTTCTCTTGCGTATAGCCCCCATTTACACGAGGCTGTAACACAACGATAGAAACGGACCCCACAACCCATAACGGGTCCCAAGGTGGATAGATTAGCAAACTAAACGCTCTGTGGGGTCCAACGGCTCCGTGTAATCGCCTCTATACGATCATTTCCTGAAAAAATAACAATAGCCCCGCCTCCCCCACCTTTGTTTGTGCCTCACACATCCGGGGGGGATCTTATTCTCGCTGCTTTTGGTGTATTTTGTGGCGGAAGTTACAGCGCCAGTTACAAGCCCGGCATATGTACTACAGCGTTTCCAGCGTTCTCGTGCGGACAGACCAGTCTATGGAACAGACACGTCAAATGAAACGAATACGTGTGAACGGAAGACTTTTTTGAAAACGCATACTGTGCATAAGCGCAAACGTTCCCGTGTGAGCAGCAGACTGCTGAGCAGATACTCTGACTGACGCTTCCTCTGATACAAAAAAATCAGAACCATTCTTATCATCTTTTATGTGTTACATTTTTTTAAATATGGAAATAGACTTTAATTCTAAAAAAGAAAATAACCTTTTTGTTTGAGATACTGCCTGATGTGAGTTTGATGAATAATGCATGAAGAATGAACTACTGTAAATCCTAGCACGCTGAAAAGTAGGAGGTGAAGAGTGCACCGCTTTATGAAAGTTGTCTTACAGACAATACATAGCTTCTTAGTTCTCACCGCGTTTCTCTTAGAGAGAAGTCTCTGCTATTGATGTGTGGCTTTCAAAAGGATTGTCTCGGGTCAAGGTGAGAATGAACTCAGAAACTCAAAACCAAAGTGTAGGAAGGGAGAGAATGTCTCGGAGCAGAGTCAGAATTACTCGTCATTGATGATTATTTCCCCTTAACTTCTGACTGCAGCTAGACAAAGACATACCTTTGTGTTGTTACAGGCTCTTTGCTAAGTTGGCTGCTCACTGTTCTGAACTTACATGTCTGCCCACAGGTGAAAGGACCAGAGAAGACCCTGCAGGAGAGACGCTCCAGCCTGGACGCGGAGATCGACTCCCTCACCAGCATCCTGGCAGACCTGGAGAGCAGCTCGCCCTACAAGCCCCGGGTCGCTCAGGTATGAGCCCACACACTTTTACACCATGCAAATCAGAAACTGTATTTGAGAAGTTGATGTACTCACTGTGACGTCAACAGGCCAGTTTGTTGCTTCTTTTTTTTTTTTAGCAACAAGCGACCATATATCCATAAGAGGATTGTGAGGCCTGGTACTGTTAGCATGATAATGCTAGGTTACCAGCTAAGGCTTTTGCTAGCTGTCTAGTTTGGTAAGCAACATGCACTGGGGTGTATGGAGAGCGACTCAGAGCCAGCCCCAAGTGGCCACTCAAGGAACTGCAGTAGGGCTCCCCCCAAATAGTCGACTAAACCTTAGTTGGCTGAAAAAGCCTCAGTCGAGCAACATTTTTCACTAGGCTATTAGTCTAGTTAGTGGGGGGGAAATTGTAAAGAGAACTCAATCTGGGTGCTGCGTGTGCTTTGCCACGTCAGCTGGAAAACCCCTACAACTTCATTCAGTGCTGTGCCTGGTCAGTAAAGGTGTTTTACATCGTTCTACTGGTCCTTTTGTGAGAGTACAGAGAATTCTTCTAAATCCACGACACCTATGGGAGAGATGATACTCTCAGCTCACCCAGAAAGTACACATTGGTTGGATTTTGTTTGTGGATTTAAACTAAATGATTAACCGTAGCAAAGCAGGTTCCTGTAAGTTGCATCTTTTAAACATGTTTTGCACTAGTGTCAAAATGAGTCTTGACCTAAATCATTAGTTGATATTACATGATATTAAGAGCAACTTCAAAAAATCAAAGCCTTGGGCAGTCTAAATCGTCTGACATACAATAAATGTAGGACAGGCAGATAAAAGAACGAACCACTTGTGTTTGGAGTTGGAAGGCTCGGAGGTTTTATAACATGCAGATCATATCTCTAGTGAAATGTTCCAGTAATAATGTAATACCTGAAAGGTGGTTCTCTGGGAGGGCATCGCTAGTGTACTTTAAATATTCTTATTTTCCAGCTTTTATTCTGCGGCTTATTCTGCGGCTGTTTAGTTACCATGTCTACATGTTGTCTGTTTCATTTGTTTATGAAACGATGCACACGTAAGACTGAAAACAGGGTTAGGATGATCAATTATTGACAGAGCTTTTCATTTAGCTACAGAGGAGGGTTGGTGCCCTCATGCAAGATGTACATATTTACATCCCTATTATGTCAGTCTGACCTTCATCTTTTTTAAAGTATTTTCTATCTGCTTCAGTAGCACTGTTTTTTCTTTAAGTTTTGTTAAGTCATAGTTTGATATATTTAATATATTTTAGTTTTCTTCCCAGAGAAGATTGGTAAAGTCTCACATCTGTATGTAGCCAGAACCAACAGCTGGAAAAACTGCTTTT